GGAACACCTGTAGCTTTAGCTGCCATTCCTGCTAGCTCATCAGGCAGAGCAGTGCATGTGTTAACCTCTCTGAAAGTAATGGATAATAAAGATTGGAACTCCATTCTTAATACACCGCCTCCGACTCTCTTTTCACGGCACTACAAAACACTGAATAAAGTAGTTTCATGTGTTTCTCCAGGGCAGTTCGGCGCTGCTAACGGAGCTAGCTCAGCTTGTTGCTCTGATAATTTAAGATCCAGACGTCCGTGACTAAAATCCTTCATCCGGTTAAATATTGTTAAAAAAATACTAATTGTATAGCATTAAAGTTCAAGAAAGGATGGTTTGCGGACAAAAAAAACCCGTCTTTTCTTCAATTCCTGTATTTTTTATATCGCAGGGGGGGGGGAAATCGCAATGTCAGTTTTTTTCAATATCGTGCAGCCCTAATTCTGATATTGAAGCTCAAGCCGGTGACGAGTGATATTTTTCTAAACACCTTCTTTAACCTATTTGTGTCCCTGTCTTTCCAATTGTCTGCGCCATCTTGCTCTTTTGTCAAAACAAAAAAAAGTTCTTGGCTTGAAAAGACAAGTGAGGTGATTTTATCATTTGACATGAACTAAAATATCCTTACATTTTTCAGGAAATTAATAGAACATATTATGATTCAAAGATAAATCCCCTAAAGGGCTCCAATGGATGTTACACTCTGGTTTTGTAACAACACTTTACCTCAGCTAAATGAAGCTGATGTGATGCACTTCAAAAGCATATTGACTTTGGAGCATATATGTATTTTTTATTTTATTGAATGGACCAATCCGCGGAGCACCTCACACACCAGGATCCCTTGGCTAACTAACAGGGAGTCCCCATTGACTTGCATAGAGCTCCCTGAACGCTGGTAATAGACGAGTTGGGATCGCAGAGACATTCTCTCCGCAGACCCATTCTCTCCGCAGACCCATTCTCTCCGCAGACCCATTCTCACAGCGTTATAAACCTTTTTCTTACTCAATATCAAGCCACACTTATTGTTTTTACTTCGGCTGTGAGTGTTTGTGTGTGCTCAGGATGAGTTTTGCTTGTTTTCGCTGTATCGCCGACCCGGAAGCCTGTCCCGCTCCTCACAGCAGCTCGCAGCAGCTCACAGCAGCGGCGAGCAGCAATGAGCCTCGCAACGTTCCGACCAATCAGAGCACACTGGGCTCACAGGGAAGGGGGGGGCAGGAGCTCCAACAAGCCGTTTAGGACTTGTGAGTGAATACACATACTATACAGAGATGCTGTATGAGAAACCAATGTGATTTTGGAAAATTGCACAATTTAAATCTATTCTAGTAGACCTCAACAATGGAAATATGACCAGTAGAAACTGCAGCGGTATAAAGTTGATCATTCAGAAGAGAAAGGGAAGGTTAAGATATAATGTGTTTAGGAAGCTTAGTTGTTTTGCTTGTGCCACAAACCTGAAACCCATAGAACAGCTGTACAAGAGAGCTATCAAGGTGTTTGACAGAAAGCCACATTCATACCACCACTGTACCATCCTTGAAAAACACAATTTCTTGAGTTTTTTTAATAAATGTTTACATGGACTGGCCCCCCCTCCCTTAGGGGAATTCATCCACAAAAAACACACTTGACGCTGCACTAGGTCAGAAACCAGAGGAGACTGTGAAGTCCACCGCAGACGGACCACTTTTGGACAAAATGTACTCTCCATTAAAGGCAGCTCATTGTGGATTAGCCTCCCAACTGAGATACGGGATTGTCCCACTCTCAATAGTTTTAAAGGTCAACTTAAAGAATGGTTGAACAACAAACAGACGTGTAATCACCGCTAAATGCACTACAGGGGTATTTCCTCTTGCACTCTATGTGGCACTTTGATCTTATCTTGCACTTTATGTCGGAGCTGCTACATTGTACTGCCATGTGGTAAGTGCTTGTATGCTGCTTATGCTCTTCCTGCATATCATGTATTTATTTTTGCTATGTATATAAATGTCATGTTCTTATATGTTGTATGTGACGGGACTATGGATGGAAATTAGCTCAAAGCTAAAATCCGGCTCATTTACATTTGTAAGCATTATTTTGTTTTAAAGTGTTCATCAATGTGCACTGTCCCGATTCAAATAAACGATTAAATGAAATGAAAAGTCGATCAGAAAACAGCAGCATGTTTTCATGTCAGGAAAGAGCGCTACAGATGCAAGTTTGCTTTGAGAATGTTTATGGAGAATTGTAGAGGGTCAGAAGGAGTTGCATTGTGTCTTTATTGGAGAAAGCATTGATATCCGAATGAAAAAGTGGGATATTTTAAGAGGAAGTTGGGAAAAGGTGAAGGATATGTTGTATGGTTTGATGGAAGAGGCACTTACCAAGAGACAGGAAGCAGAGGGGGAGGTGACAGAGTTGAAGATGAATAACGAGGATTGGCATGATTAGGAATGATCAGAGGGACAGCTCAGATTAGACATTTTGGAGACAAAGCCAAAGAGGCAAGATTGAGATGGTTTGGAAACATGCATTGAAAACATTCTTGGGTCATTGGGAGAAGGATGCTGGAGATGGAGCTGACAGGCAAGAGGAAATGGGAAGGCCAAAGATAAGGTTTATATCTGTGGTAAGGAAAGACATGCAAGTGGCTGGCAGAGCAGATGAAGATGGAGACCCCTTAAAGAAGCAGCCAAAAAAAGAAGAAGTATGGTATGTTCAGTTGTCTTTCAGTCTGTACATTATGTGAAATCTAACCGCTCAAAATACTGCAGTTGACTAATTTGATTAGTTGAACACAATATGTGCCATTATAGAGTATGTGTCACTTTAGTTCTTCCATTGTAGAAATAATTGCCAGTAGAACAGCAAACTACAAGGCCTGATAGAAAGCTTTGCAAATGAAGAGACATGCCATAATTTACTTGAAAATGTATTGTAGAGAGCAAGCAGTTGTGCAAGCATTATTACATGTTAAGAAACCAAGTTTAAAACCCGCAGTTATTACATTTTCAAAGTAAAGTAGCTTTGCTCAAGACTGGAAAAATACAGCTTTGTGGGATTTTCAGAAACCAGGAGACAAGGGCAGAGTTCATACTGCAGGGATGTCACAATGAAAGAGTAATACATAATTTAGACATGTGGATGGTTCAAAGCAGTTCACATTGTGTCTTCTTTTTTAAATAGAAAATTGTATCTAAACATCATCATCAGGAAGGCAATTTGGAAAAAGCACTGAAGAAAAAACACCTGCACCAACTCTGACCTAATGATTTGAACATTTTTATAATTTAAGTCTTACTTTAGCAAAGTCCTTCAACTACACAAACTTTCCACAAAGCGCTTGTTTGAGCTTAATTAATGTTACCTGTCCATGAGGCCTGACTAATGGAAAGAAGACAAGACAAATAGACAGTGAAATATCCAATTTAAGCTTGTTGAGTATATCATGTAAATAAAATAAAAAACAATTATAATGAGAAGCGGACATGATGGTCATTTATTAAGGCTTCAGCTGCAAAATAAGTGTAGAATTCACTGATGCAGCCTGTGGATGATGTAGTCTCCATTTCCCTCACACCTCAGGGGCCAAGTATTGCACGAGTTCTGTGGCTACCACTTCATGTCTTGACATGTCTTAATGAAGCCAGAGGGAACATTAAAACGAAACACACCCATGCCAGAAAAGCCATTATTTGAAAAGCTTTTAAATGTTTAATGGCCAAGTATAGAAGCAGTATTAAATGACTCTCTTGTGGAATCATTAGGGTGCACAAACAAATGATATTACTTTTGAGAAGGTAGAGTCTTGTTAAAGAGGCCCTATTGTGTTTTTTGGGGTTATCCATATACTGAAGTTATATATATATATATATTTGCATTTTTGTGCATGTGAATGGTCTGTAAAGGCTCAAATATTTAAGTTATCTCCAGAGTTTCTTTTTTGACCTAAGCACATACAGTAGTCATCACATCACTATATGCTTCTATTGGCTAGCGCTCCAAGACATTAAGGCTAAGGGGTGGGACATCTCTTGACCAATTACATCAGAGCCAGCCAGCTAACCAATCAGAGTAGACCGGGCTCTGGTGACAGACAGAGGGTGAAAAGAGGTATTGCAGCACAGTATGGGAAAAAACTAAACAAAAAAACATGTCACATTAGAAGTAGGGCTGAACGATTAATCGATTTGAAATCGCAATTTGAAATGATGCGATTATCAAATCGCGAAGCCTGCGATTTTTTTTTACATTTTTTTTTTTTGTTCTTCTTGTGTGTCAGTCATCCACACCAATCAGAAGTGCTGTGGTCCACATGTTCCAGCCATTGTTAACCAATCAGAAGTGGCCCATGATAGAAGGTGATAGACAGATTGATCCAATCACCTGCCAAGTAGTTTTGAAAGTGCCTGCCCTTTCCAAATGGCTTCCAATGGAGCTTTCCTAGATGGTTTGGTGAAACAAACCATCTGAGTCAGGTTAGTAATGCTCCATCACATGTTTTACATCTATTACAGGGTGAATCTTAAACTGAAGCTTGACTTTAAAGCAACCCAACGGAAGTTTCATGTAAGTTTAGTTATTTCACTCATAGTGCGGGCTGCAGGGGTGCTAGAGACGGGAGCACGTTGATACGACCTTCCTAGCCGGAGATATGGCCGCATTTTACAATACACTTCCGTTTGGTCGCTTAAAAACAAATATCGCAAATCGAATCGCAATCGCAATATCTGTCAGAAAAATCGCAATTAGATTATTTCCCCAAATCGTGCAGCCCTAATTAGAAGCACACAATACAAACGTGAACCTGAAAATGAGCGTAATACTCTATGTCCTTTAAAAATCTAATCTCCAGCATTGCTGGAGATTGGGCCTTCAACCAAGTCAGAGGCCCAATCTGCAAAAGCCACTGACAACATCCTGGTTTTCATATTATTAATTAATGAATCCTTAGATTGAAAATGGTAATATGATAAAGAATTAGAAATGTAAGACAGTATTTGTATACCCACAGTAGAGCTGTATGGTGATGGGTAGGGTTTCTTCATTCATCATGGCTGCACTGGTGACAACACACTTGACCAATTGACCGTCTAATTCTCTGGTAGGTACTCCAAGCACCGAGCTGATTGTGGTTGTAGTACTGTTAGCGTTCAGGGTGGAGGTGGTTGATTCTCTCACTTTTCCTGCCAGAGCACCAGTGAGCCAGCTTATTTCTGCAGGAGGCTTTGAACCAACAGCCGTGCAGGTAACAAGAGAAACCTCTTCATTACCCAAAATAGGATGATCATCCTTCAGGATTATCACCGGAGGCACTAGGAGGGTAAGAATACACAAATAAGTCAGCATAAAACCATAGAGGTATAAACATTAGTCACATTTGTATTCTCTCAGTAATGTTTGTATGCAGTGTATTATAGCCTACCAAGCAAATTTAGAGGTATCTCAGTCTTGTGAATTCCGCTGGGAAACAGCGTGAAGATGCAGGTGTAGGTGCCTTCGTCCATCAATGTGACTCCAAATAACTGCAGGGATCCATTCTTGGCTTTTAAGTCCCCAATAAATGTAAAACGGTCATCATGTCCATTGAAATAATTTGGTCCTGTCTTCAAAATTGTAAGGAAGTTATAGTTCTGAGGTTTTTCTCTGGTCTTCTTCTGCCAGGAAATTTGGCTGAGTGTTTCCGTAGCGCCGATAAGTTGGCAGGGAAAGTTGGCAGTCCCTCCTTGCACAACGGTGACGTTTCCTCCAATCACCTGAAGCGCTGCAAGATGCATAAAATCTCATTAGGCAAAAAATAAAACAGAAGGTACAAACCATAGGGCTCTCCTATGAAGCAAGGTGAGCAGGATTGTGTGGTACATTGGTTCAAGGTTCAAGTTCAAGGCTTTTATTGGTCATACGAACATAGCTACAGTGTAGTTATGAGGATGAAAATCTTAGGTCACAGGCTCCTCCAACAGTGCAACACAATAAAACAGAACAAAATAGTGCAAGTAAATACAAAAAGACAAATTGTAAAAAAAAAAGTGAAATAGTGCAATAAGAGTCTATATACAAATTATTGGAATATGATATATTAGATAAATAGTTTCTAAGTAGATTAATGTTATGGATGTTGTTTCAAAGTTCAGGTGTTTAATAGTCTTATGGCCTGTGGGATGTAACTGTCCCTGAGTCTGGTGGTTTTAGTCCGGATGCTGCGGTACCGCCTGCCAGATGGCAGCAGACAGAACAGTTTGTGGCTGGGGTGATGGGGTCTTTGATCAGGGCTTTCTTCCTGAGCCGCTGGGAGTAAAGATCCTCCATGGATGGCAGCTCCGTGATGAGCCGGAAGCCAGAGTTTTCCATGGTATGAGGGGGCTCTTTTTAACCTGGCTATATTTCTATAGCAATGTATGCTGCTGACCTAGTACTCATTTAAATGTCATAATAATAGTATAATTGAAATGGGCTAAAAAGAGGCATTTAAACTAGTTACTTTAAAAAAGAAATCATATTTCAGTCAATATGAACAATACAGATTCCCAGCTGAAAGAATAAGTTAAATATGAAAACGTGTCAGCTGTAACGTAACATTATTGAACAAAGATGTAGATGCATTGTTTTGCGTTTATTGTGCCTCTTTCTCTTTTCTCCTAGTTTTTGCTTTTTTAAAAGTTCATATGATGGGACAACATGCAGAGCCATTATATATAAAAAGGTGGGAGAAGTGATAGAGCCTTTGTTTGAACATGTATCTTTTAAGAAAATGTAAAGTACTAAAGTAAATACTCACTACACCTCATCACGGTATGTGGTTGAATTTGCTTAAATAAATACTTCTCTGGGAGGAGTAGCCTACTCAGAACTTGTACTTGAGTAAAAGTAGAAAGTACCAGAGTGTAGGAATACTCAGTGACAAGTAAAAGTCCTGCATTAAAAAAGTCACTCAAGTAAAAGGTACAAAAGCATACGCATCAAAATAAACTTAAAGTACAATAAGTAAAAGTAATTCTAAATTGTACTCAAGTACAGATTGAGTAAATGTACCAGTTACTTCCCAGCTCCCACCTCTGCTCCTCGTGTTTTCTCATCTCTATTGTTACAAGGCATGTGCTCCACAAGGTGTTTACTGATTAATTAAAGTGTGGTCCAATACAGCAGGTTAAAAGCAGCTCCTCTTTGTTCTCTCCTTCGATATGTAAGATGCGCTCTGCTATCGTGTTTGAACTGTTTTTGTGTAAGCAGCTCTGTATTTTATTCTACCGTACCTATAGCGTAACGTGTAGACATGGCCGTATCTACCATTGAGGTCACACCAAAATAATGTAGGCTTAATAAGCTCATCTATTTATCTATAACAATAGGCATACTTTTAAAACATACTTCTATTGCAGTTATGATGTCATAATAACATACAATTGTATAAAACACCATTTCCTTACATCTTTGTTCTCTTTTGAGAATCAAACAAAACAGATTTAAATTTAAAAAAAGAATGCAAACAAACGAGTGAAATGAACTAAATAGCTGAATTGCTTTTAATTCACTGGCAGGAGCAACAAGTGAGGAGGAGCAACAAGTGAACAACGAGGGAGAGATTGAACAAAGAGAAAGAGTAGAGGACAGAGAGAGTAATGAACAGGAAGAAGACAGAGAGACTAAAGACAATGGAAGAGAGGCTGCAGGTTATGGAAAGGAGAGAGACATGGAAAATGAATGTTGACAATGTGTTGTGATCATTTTAGCCTCTTCTGCATGTCCAGATCATTAATAGTAACAATCAACTGATTCTTATGTATTACACTTTAAAAATAATTGATGCTGACATTGTCAGCCCACTGACATGGGTTGAAATCAATATATTATCCAATTTGTGACCCCCCCCCCAGGACTTAAAAAGCACCTAACTAGATCATGAAAATACCAAAAATCTCGGGGGGTATCCCCTGAACCCCCCTAGCATGTTTGGACCTCGGTAAGTCATTTTCTTTGAAGAAACATCGAGATTATTAGCTATTAGCTTGCAAAGCTTACCTTCGACTGGGCTCTGAATCAACGTAAACACCGATAAGAATACTGACACTGCTGGAGAAACACCGTGCATTATGACGCCTCCATAGATTCCCGTTAAAGTTAACACAATATTTGTCCGTCGATCATGTGAGTAACATCCTGGATGTAATCATAGCACGGTCATCCTACGCCATCTGAGCAGAGCTACTGTCAGCTCTTAAAGGGAGAATGGAAAAACTGACTGCGGTCAAGCCAGCCTCCACTTGGGAAAACGCAGTCGAGCCAGGGCTCTTCTCACTTCGGTTAAATGGAATCCTTGCTTCCCTCACTTGCGTCGTTTCCCTGTGACTAGTCCCTCCCACCAGGGAAGCATTGAGGGACCGGAGGGATGCAAGGAAACCACGAGAAGCAGGGAAATGAGTTTTAAGAGCAATGGGACGTCCTTTCCTCCGGAGTCACGTGAAGCGACGTCCGTTTGTGATGACGCTGCACAGCTGATCGTCGGACACATAGATATATATATAAACACTAGATGACTCACTCGCGCTGCTGGCCAATGGAGACCGACGTTGCCTTGGCCGCCATCTTGATACAGGGAGTTCTCTCATTCATAACATTATGGTTTACTATTTAAATAACCATAGCTTGCTCAATTTTCAACCAATTTTCAAACGGTTTGGTTTTTTATAAACATCAAAGATGTAGTTATGATATTCCATACTTATAATCATGGACTTTCATATGAAAATAACATTAATCAGATAAAGCAATAGCTATACACACACACACACACACACACAAGGTATTTATATTAAAATATTTGCCGGTGTATATATTTCCATTTATTTTATTATATTGTTAATATTTAAAATAAATTATAAAATTAAAATACATTTATATTTTATATATAAAAATCGGTCTCATGTTACCACTCTGTAAGCCAAGAGTTGTTAATTTAGCAATGCCTTAGCTTTAAGAACAGGGACACAACTAATGACAATAGCATATGTTGGTATATTATTTAGATATTCACACCTTTATCAGAAGAACCAAACCAACATAAAATGTGCTCACAGACAGGCCAGTTCTGTCTAATTTATCACAATTATTTTTGACATGAGATCTTCATATTACTATACTAGTTTTGTATTTAGTTTCTAGATTTGTAAACAAATCCAGAACCTTTGAAATATGTTATTGAAAAAAGACCAAGAATAATATAAACTGTACCATGTGTCCTTTTGTGTCCTTCTGTAGTCCATTTGTGGTTTGTCTTGTCTCACCCCGGCTGATATATCACAAAATCCACTGTTTAAATTGTTCCCTATATTGCCCCTATGCCCCTGTAAGGTGTCCTTGGGTCCTTGGGAAAGACGGCCTCCCAAAATAAATGTATTATTATTATTAAGAAGAACAACTTGGTGTGGTTTGGAGGGGATGTAGGAAGCAGGAGCAGGTGGGGAGAGATGGGGCTTCAAGGTTCAAGGTTATTTGTTTTAAATGTGTCTTGGAGATAAGGACCAGCTGCACACAATAAAATACAGTATAACACAAAACCAATAAGACACACGCCACGGTGACACATGGCACACCAACAATCAATCATCGTCCAGCCTCAGCTTTGGTATTATTTCACAACCATGTTATGGGTTTATTAGACTGAGCAAACATAAACATATGTGGGGAACATAGTGCTGCGTCTCATGGAACATGAAGATTTAATAAATACATAGTAGGTGGCGATATATGCTCCTAGTGGTAGCGATTCGCCATTAAACAAAGAAGAAGAAGAAACATCAGGGGGAAAGAGAGGGAGACACACAAGCACCCACTACGGCACGCAGGGTCGGCGTCATGGGGGGTCATTCGCGGGCCATGCCCCCCCAAATTAGTCACTGTGCCCCCCCAACGCAGGGTGGGCAAGCCTTATTGCCACTTTGCCGTTTTTTTTAAAATCATATAAGTTAAAACATTTCCACTAAAAGTTTTTTGTGTGAAATACATCAGAAATGAAGAATACAAATATTAAACAGAAACACAGCCTGAGCTGTGCTCACTGCTGCTCTCTGATTGGTGTGTTGCTTGACCTTGACCCCCGACCTTTGTTTTGTTATCATTACGTGGCTGTGTTTTTAGATGAGAGCCCAGTGGCGATCTGTCCATCTGTTATACTGATTATACAGTAAAGGCATCGAACATAATATGATATACAGTACAGTACAAGTACATGGGTCTCTGTGTTTCATTCAAGCTCGGCTCTCTGTGTGTGGCACGAGCGCATTTTGTCAGTGCGCGAGCGGTAACGTGGAATGTTGTTGTTAGCATCTGGTTAGCTAGCTATGCTAACGGAATAAAGAGCTGTTTCTACACCAAGGTGGAGGAGAGTCCTCTCCTGTCAGACTGAGAGGATCTTATAACGTCAGCTCAGTGAGGTAAGGACTCTCTCAGTGTTTAGATCGTTAACTTTAGTGTAGGTTAACTTATCTCAGTGGGTCTCAAACGGTTTGGTGACCATTTATGTAAACAAGTATTTGCGAGGAATAGGCTACCTTTATATGATCATTATAGTTATTAAAGAATAAGAGAATAAATGAAAAACTGGTATGAAATACTATAGGACAGTAACACAAGAATACAGTTTAAAAGGGAAGTGATTTGTAAAATATCCATAAAGAAAAAGTAAATCTGTGTACAGTTCTGTTTCATATGGATGTTGAGAGATGTATCCATAGATCTCTTCATGTTGCTCTCAAAGTGCACCAGATTGATGCATTTAACTTCAATATTTAAAAAAAAATAGGTCATAGGTGCGCTATAAAATAGCACTACACCCCTGCAATGTGTGTGAAAGACAATAGACTTTACAGCATGTCTTTTTAAATTGAAGTTGCGTTGGTGTTTGTGTGTTGGTTGTTGACGGCAGTGTGTGTCCCCCCTTGGTAAATGATTGCCCCCCCATTTGATTTGTTCTAGAGCCGACCCTGACGGCACGTAACACATGTCGTTACGTTCCCTCTTGGCGAGGGGTACAAAGGGAAACGACACGACCAGAGTAGAATTGGTATGTGTTACCAGCGGTTTATTTGTAACTGCAAGTAAGTAAAATGATATGCACAAAACAGCTTGGCCCAACAACGGGTCAAACTGTTACTGTCCTGTCACAGGAAACAAAACTGCACACTGCCAAAACTGCATCCCTCTCCTCTGTCATCATCCTGTTGGACCTGTCTGCTGCATTCGACACGGTGAATCATCAGATCCTCCTTCGCACTCTCCAAAAACATGGAGTTTCAGGCTCTGCTCTTTCCCTCCTCACCTCATACCTGAAAGACCGTACCTACAGGGTGACTTGGAGAGGGTCTGAGTCCGACCCTTGTCAATTAACTATAGGGGTCCCTCAGGGCTCTGTTCTTGGTCCCCTCCTCTTCTCCCTGTACACAAACTCGCTCGGATCAGTCATTAGCCCGCATGGTTTTTCTTACCACTGCTACGCTGACGACACCCAATTAATTCTGTCCTTTCCCCGCTCAGAGACCCAGGTCGTTGCACGCATCTCTGCTTGTCTAGCTGACATCTCTCAGTGGATGTCTGCTCACCACCTCAAGCTCAACCTTGACAAGACTGAGCTGCTCTACCTCTCGGGAAAAGATTGTCCCACTCTTGACCTAACAATCAATATCGGCACCTCAGTTGTTTCCCCGACTCAGACTGCAAGGAATCTGGGTGTGACCCTAGATAACAACCTGTCCTTCACTGCAAACATCACTGCTACAACCCGTTGCTGCAGATACACGCTTTACAACATCAGGAAGATACGTCCCCAGCTGACACAGAAAGCGACTCAGGTTCTGGTCCAGGCTCTCGTCATCTCACGCCTAGACTACTGCAACTCCCTCCTGGCTGGTCTACCTGCATGTGCCATCCGACCTCTGCAGCTCATCCAGAATGCAGCGGCTCGTCTGGTCTTCAACCTTCCTAAATTTTCCCACACCACTCCGCTCCTCCGCTCCCTTCACTGGCTTCCGGTAACTGCTAGAATCCACTTCAAGACACTGGTACTTGCTTACCATGCTGCGAATGGATCTGGCCCTTCCTACATCCAGGACATGGTTAAACCGTACACCCCAGCGCGTGCACTACGCTCCTGCATCAGCCAAACGACTCGCTGCGCCCTCGCTGCGAGGGGGACCCAAGTTCCCATCGGCAAAAACACGTGGGTTTGCTGTCCTGGCTCCAAGATGGTGGAATGAGCTCCCCATTGACATCAGGACGGCAGATAGCGTGCACATCTTCCGGCGCAAACTGAAAACTCATCTCTTTCGACTCCACTTCGAGCGTTAGAACTATTAACGAAGCACTTTTATACTAATAAAGGACTGGCTTACCTAAAGCCAGTTGAGTAGCACTTGAAATGTTTGGCTCTATGAAACCTGATGTACTTATATGATTCTGTTTTCTTCAAGGTTGTGTCTTCCTGGTCGAATGTACTTATTGTAAGTCGCTTTGGACAAAAGCGTCAGCTAAATGCAATGTAATGTAATGTAAAAAACCGTCCCTTCTTAGGGCGAGTTCCCACTGCCTCCTCCTCTCTTCGGTTTTGGGAAACCTTAAAAACATGAGAAAGGTAGCCAGATATATAAATTATTGTCAACATTTTCCTCCCTTCTTTCCTTTAACATTAAGGGTAAGGTCAAAAATACACACCGAAATTATCATATTTTTGGTATGTATGCATGTATGTATAGCCTACTTTAAGAATAAGAAAACCACACTAAGAGTAATAAAAAAGGTGTCCAAAAGAAACATTAAATAATTGTGTAAAGAAATGGTAACAACATATTCTAAAGAGGCTGGGTCAACAACAATCTTGCAATACTATGATGTGATCAATAATAGTTTAAAACAAACTACGTATAACTACAACATTATAACTGAGTGAATGTAAAACTCAAGGAGTTTAAAAATAAAATACTTTTGAAATCTCATATGGGCCTTCAGTTTTTAGATAAGAATAAATACAAAACTGTTAATCATCGAAGACCTATTTCACTTCAGAGTGAAAGCAGGACACCCCAACTAGTCACTCAGAGAAAATCAGATTTTTTTTTCAAAATAAATAGTTTCAAAATAAAAGACCATTGAAATCTCTATTATATGAGCTGTCATCCCACACAGAAGGCCTTCGTAAGGCCTCTCGAGTCTCCTCTCGACTCCCCTCTCAAGTTCCTTCTCAAGTCCCCTCTCGAGTCTCCTCTCGAGTCCCCTCTCGAGTCTCCTCTCGAGTCCCCTCTCAAGTTCCTTCTCAAGTTCCTTCTCAAGTCCCCTCTCGAGTCTCCTCTCGAGTCCCCTCTCAATTTCCTTCTCAGGTCCTCTCTCGAGTCTCTTCTCGAGTCCCCTCTCGAGTCCCCTCTCGAGTCTCCTCTTGAGTTCACTCTCA